GTGTGTGTGCACGTGTCTGTGCACATGTGTGTGTGTGTGTACGTGTGTGTGATTTAATTGTTTTTATTTTTTATTTTAATTTCATTTTTTACCTACGTGACTTTACCGAAAGAACTGAGAGTGTTCGATCACGACGGCCGTGAGAGAAGCGAGCGCGTGTGTGTGTGTGCACGTGTGTGTGTGTGTGTGCACGTGTGTGTGTGTGCACGTGTGTGTGTGTGCACGTGTGTGTGTGTGTGAGCGTGTGTGAGTGTGAGTGTACGTGTGTGATTTTATTGTTTTATTTAAATTTTTTATTTTTATTTCATTTTTCACCTACGTGACTTTACCGAAAGAACTGAGAGTGTTCGATCACGACGGCCGTGAGAGAAGCGAGCGCGTGTGCCCGTCGGCCCGGGGGTGGTGGTCGGGGTGCCCTTGAGTCTCGCGGTGAATTCCGGAACGGTCCGTCGTGTTTCCTCTCGTGCCGTTGTGGAAGCGAGGAGGCGAGGGAAAGGTCAGGAGGTCCGGCAAGATCGGGGAGCGAAATGTCAGTATCCAAAGCGGAATGTCAAATACCAGCGGCACAATTCTCTCAAGAACTTGGGGAGTGGGGCTCCCCACAGGATTACATTAAATATGTATATGTGCGTGTGTGAGTGTGTGCGTGAGTGTGTGTGAGTGTGTGTGTGTATGAGTGTGTGTGTGGGCAGGTGTGATTGTGTGTGAGCACGTGTGTGTGTGTGTATGAGTGTGTATGAGAGTGTGTGAGTGTGTGTGTACACGTGTGTGTGTGAGCGTGTGTGTGTGTGTGAGCACGTGTGTGTGAGTGTGTATGAGTGTGTGAGTGAGCACGTGTGTGTGTGTGAGCACGTGTGTGAGTGAGCACGTGTGTGAGTGTGTGAGCACGTGTTGTGTGTGTGAGTGCGTGTGAGGGTGTGTGTGTGTGAGCACGTGTGTGTGTGTGTGCACGTGTGGTGTGTGAGCACGTGTGTGTGTGTGAGCACGTGTGTGTGTGTGTGAGTGCGTGAGTGTGTGTGAGTGTGTGTGAGTGTGTGCGTGAGTGTGTGTGAGTGCATGTGTGAGTGCGTGTGTGTGTGTGTGAGCACGTGTGTGTGAGTGTGTATGAGTGTATGAGTGTGTGTGAGTGTGTGTGTACACGTGTGTGTGACCACGTGTGTGTGTGTGTGAGCACGTGTGTGTGAATGTGTGAGTGCAGTGTGTGAGCGTGTGTGTGAGTGTGAGCACCTGTGTGTGAGCGTGTGTGTGCACGTGTGTGTGTGTGCACGTGTGTGTGTGAGCACGTGTGTATGTGTGTGAGCACGTGTGTGTGAGTGTGAGCACGTGTGTGTGAGTGTGAGCACGTGTGTGTGCGTGCGTGTCTGAGCGCATGTGTGTGAATGTGTGTGAGTGCGTATGAGTGTGTGTGTGTGCACGTGTGTGTGAGTGTGTGCACGTGTGTGTGAGTGTGTATGAATGTGTGTGTGAGCACGTGTGTGTGAGTGCATATGAGTGTGTGTGAGCACGTGTGCGTGTGTGAGTAAACGGGGAGTGGTGGTGCAGCGGTCAGCGCTACGCTGCGCTACGAACCCGACGACACGAGTTCGATTCCCACGGCCAACACCAGTGACGATTATCTGAACCAGTCCCGGGCCTCCCCTAGGTCGACTCAGTCTCAAATGAGTACCTGGTGCGATGTGTAAACATCGCCACTGGGGAGACAAAGGCGGCCGGGCGCAGTGCTGGCCACCCACCCCCTCGTGTGCCGGCCTTCACAGGTGCTCGCTAACAACAGCACTTGCCCCAACAGTCTGTCACAGTCTACACGGTGGCATCTTTGTCTTTGCGGAGCGGCAGTGTCCTTCTGTCGCTCCGCTGCGTCGAGTAAAACATCGCCGCTGGGGGAAGACAAAGACGGCCTGGGGCACGGCGGGGCTGGCTCCGCCCCCCCGACCCAACCCAGGCAGTCCGTTCCAGGCCGCGGCGGCCCCCGTTTGCGAGCCGCCCATCGAACGGCCGTTCCCAGCTTCCGGAAAGTTCTTCTCGGTCCACCGCTGAGGCGCCCTTCGGAACAAATCGAAATCCAGTTTCAATTCGCGGTTTCCTCTCCGTCCCCCACCGCCGCCGCCACCTTTCCGCGCGGTCGATGGGCTCTCCGGCCCGCCAAGAGGTTGCTACACTGCTGCTCGCGACGGCCGGAGAGTCGCTTGTGCTCAAGATCTCGCGCGCGTCTCTCTCCGTCATTCGCACCCGTCCCCGCGCCTCTCCGACGTGATCGTCCCGCTAACTGTTGCGGTTCGATCGGGGCGCGCGTGAGCTTGGTCGTGTTTGTTGCTCTTGGGCGGTGGGCAATGCGCGGAGTTTTTATTTTTTATTTTTCGGGGGGGCGGGGGGTTTGCTTGTGACGCATTCACGTCGAAAGGTTTTTTTTTTACGGCCGAACAAAACTTTGGGAATTTTTTTTCGTTTTTAGCCCGTCGGGAATACGGACATTTTCATTTTATAATCTTATTTTTTTTTTGGGTTGGATCGCGTATAAGTATATAAACGTGTCGTTAAAACCCGCCACCACCCGACACAGCCAACTAGTAAGGGTTGTCACGTAAACAGAACGTGGCCAATTCGTCACTAGTACAGCACTAGTGTGTAGTGTATAGTGTAGTGTATAGTGTAGTGTATAGTGTAGTGTATAGTGTAGTGTATAGTGTAGTGTATAGTGTAGTGTATAGTGTAGTGTATAGTGTAGTGTGTAGTGTAGTGTATAGTGTAGTGTATAGTATAGTGTGTAGTGTAGTGTATATTGTAGTGTATAGTGTAGTGTAGTAGTGTAGTGTATAGTAGTGTATAGTGTAGTGTATAGTGTAATGTGTAGTGTATAGTAGTGTATAGTGTAGTGTATAGTGTAGTGTATAGTAGTCTATAGTGTAGTGTATACTAGTGTATAGTGTAGTGTATAGTGTAGTATATAGTAGTGTAGTGTATAGTAGTGTATAGTGTAGTGTATAGTAGTGTATAGTGTAGTGTATAGTAGTGTGTAGTGTATAGTGTACTATAGTAGTGTAGTGTATAGTAGTCTATAGTGTAGTGTATACTAGTGTATAGTGTAGTGTACTGTGTGTGTGTGTGGCGGTGGTGAAGGACGCCACTGATCAGTAGGAGGTAGTCGCCCTCCAACAACAACGGAGGGGGGAGCGACGTTCACAACAACGAGCGGAGCGCCTGGCGGATAAAATTGAGCCAGTCGGCACAAGTAGAGGGCACAGCTGGTGCATCTGCCAGTCATCTCGGTCAGCCGACTCGTGGCACCTGGGTCTGCCTCGTGACCTCCTTGCCAGCAGCAAGAGCCTTCGACACATCACGTGGCCACAAACTCGTGAACCTAGCCTGGCACCGCTACCCTGGTGACGTATCCGTCACTTGGTGGCGAATCGCGGGTATTGGTGTGATAGTGCAGCGGGAATCGAACCCGGCGACCCGTGTTCCATTCCCGCTCACGGCAAACACCGTTGACGACTATCTGAACCGGTCCTGCGCCTCCCCTAGGTCGACTCAGCCTCAAATGAGTTACCCGGGCGCGGGTGTGTAAACATCGCCACTGGGGAGACAAAGGCGGTCGGGCCCGGTGCTGGCCACCCCCACCCCCTCGTGTGCCGTGCCGGCCTTCACAGGTGCAGCTCGCTAACAGCACTTGCCCCAACAGTCCGTGAATGCTACACGGGTGATCTTTGTCTGTGTCTACGTAGAGATGTATTTTTATCTCCTGGGCCCCCTCCCGAGATTCGGCGTGTTAGCTCGATAATTTCTGCGCCGAAAAACCCCGACGCAAATGATGATGCCACCTTTAAATTGCGTCTTCCGGCACCTTTATATCTTTAATTAGAGTGAAACAATGCATTTGGAGGTGTTCCCTTGTTGCCCTGGGGGATTTGAAGGTTTCTCAACGTGTCACGCGCGCCGTGCCAGCGAGGGAGAGATTGGGCTCGTCGCACAGTCTCCCACCTGCGATATCTCGGGTCACCGAGGAATACACACCGACAACAACGAACACTGTGTACTATTTGGATTTTTTTTTTGCGTTTAATTCAGCTCCGATGGATTAACAGGACATCTTTGGCTTTTGCGTGCGTGTGTGTGTGTGTGTGTTGCTGTACGTGCATTTGGTTGTGTGTGCGCGCGTCTGTGTTTGAGCGATTGGGAATGTGTGCGGTTAGATTCCCGCTCACGGCCAACACCGGCGACGATTATCTGAACCGGTCCCGGGCCTGCCCTAGGTCACCTCAGCCTCAAAATCAGTACCCGGAGCGGTGTGTAAACATCGCTGCTGGGGAGACAAAGGCGGCCGGGCGTGGTGCTGGCCACCCACCCCCTCGTGCGCCGTGCCGGCCTTCACAGGTGCTGCGACTCGCTAACAGCACTTGCCCCGACAGTCTGTGGAGGCTACGCGGGTGATCTTTGGCTTTGCGGAGCAGCGGTGGTGTAGTTCTGTGAACAGCGCCACGCTACGAACCCGGCGACCCGAGCCCGATTCCTCGCTCGCGATTCATCTGAACCTGTTGTTGTTTTTGTTGTTGTTTTTTTAGTAGTTTTTATTGTTGTTTTTTAGTTCTTTTTAACGGTTTTTTTTGTTGTTGTTTTTTTTAGTTTTTGTTATTGTTTTTTAGTTATTTTTAAAAGTAGTTTTTTGTTCTGTTTTTTTGTTGTTGTTTTTTGTTGTTGTTTTTAGTTCTTTTTAAAAGTAGTTTTTTGTTGTTTTTTTAGTTTTTGTTGTTGTTCTTTAGTCCTTTTTAAAAGTAGTTTTTCGTTTTGCTTTTTTGTTGTTGGTTTTGCTGTTGCCTTTTCGTGGTTTTTTTTTTCTCCCTCTTACTTGCTTCTTTCTCAATACACCAGCCGGGCGCATCCTAAATCGACAGGCCCCAACAACGGACGTTTGCCGAGCCACCTCAAAGAGGGCCACATCAGTCCGCTCACAGCCCACACAGCCGCGAGTATTTGACGCGGGATCTTTGTCCGCGTGCCCGCAGGCGCGGACCTTCGGAGGCGTTGGCAGCGCCGGCGGGAACTTGCTGAGCGGGGGGTCCCACGCCAGCCGGCCCCTACGGGAACCCGCTGGCCGCCAGCCGCAACGTGAGGAGCGTGGAGCCCGGAGCGACGCGCGGGCAGACGGCATCTACAGAGAGCTGGTACCACTCCCTGCCTTGCAACGCACGCAGTCAACAACAACAACAATAACCACAACAACCGCCACTTAGTGGGGGTGACGTCTATCAGAGAGCTGGTACCACCCACCCACCCAGCAACGCACAACAACAACAACCACAACAACAACAACCGCCGTTTGCCACTAAGTGGCGGTGACGTCTATCGCGGCGCTTGTGCCAGGCCATGTGCACCTTGAGGCCACGTGAAGTGTCGAAGGTTCTCGCTGCTGGAAGGAGGTCTCGGGACAGACCCAGGTGCCACTCACCCACCCACACAATCACCCACACACACACACAGACACACACACACAGACACACACACAGACACACACACACGGACACACACACAGACACACACAGACATAGACACACAGACATAGACACACACAGACACACAGACACAAAGACACACAGACACACAAACACATACACAAAGACACACGCACAGACACGAAAACACAGACACACAGACACGCACACAGACCCACACACAACAACAACAACCGCCATTCGCCACTAAGTGGCGGTGACGTCACCACGACGCTTGTGCCAGGCCAAGTGCACCTTGAGGCCACGTGAAGTGTCGAACGCCCGCTGGCAGGAGGTCACGGGGCAGACCCAGCAGGTGCCACGGGTCGACTGACTGAGATGACTGGCCGATGCACCACCACCTGTGCACCCCGTACTGTGCCAACTCGCCGTGCTTTAGCCGTCCGGCGCTCCGCTCGTTGTTGTGAGCGTCCCTCCTCTGCCCTCCGTTGTTGCTCACACACGCGAAGGCAAAGATCCCCCGTGCAGCCTCAACAGACTGTAGGGGCAAGTGCTGTTAGCGAGCGCCTATGAAGGCCGGCACGGCACACGAGGGGGTGGGTGGCCAGAGTCACGCCCGACCGCCTTTGCTTCCCCATCGGTGAGGTTTACACGCTGCGCCAGGTACTCGTTTGCAGCTGAGTCGACCTAGGGGAGGCCCAGGACCGGTTCGGATAATCGTCACTGGTGATGGTGGCCGTGAGCGGGAATCGAACCCGGGTCGCAAGGTTCATAGCTCAGCGCAGACCCGTTATGGAGGTGTAGCCAACCGTTACATGACCTCAGAGACACAAAGATAAAGACAAAGATCCCCCATGTAGCCTTAACAGACTGTAGGGGCAAGTGCTGTTAGCGAGCACCTATGAAGGCCGGAACGGTACACGAGGTAATGGGTGGCCAGCACCACGCCCGACCGCCTTTGTCTCCCCAGTGGCGATGTTTACACACCGCACCAGGTTACACATTTCAGGCTGAGTCGACCTAGGGGAGGCCCAGGACCGGTTCAGATAATCGTCGCTGGGTGTTGGCCGTGAGCGGGAATCGAACCCGGGTCGCAAGGTTCGTAGTGCAGCGCAGACCCCTTACGGTGGTGTAGCCAACCGATACATGACCTCAGAGACGCACGCACGCACACACACGCACGCACACACACGCACGCACACACACGCACGCACACACACGCACGCACGCACACGCACGCACGCACGCGCAAACACGCACTCTCGCTCACTCATATACTAATCTGCGTACACTCACTCGCGTATGGATCGGCGGGGACACACGTTTGTCCCTAAAAGCTCATTAAGAGGCGGGGCGGGGGGGGGTGGATTGAACGGTCGCATGGCAGGCGATTCTTACCCGTGACAAAGCAGTGTTCATTTTAAGCGATCAGCTCCGTGGAAAAGGTCTCTCTCTCTCTATCGGTGTCAAGATCGTGCAATCGCAGTAATATCCTTAGGTTTTTTCGGTAAAGTCACGTAGGTAAAAAATTTAAATTAATAAAAGTAAAATAAAAATAAAATAAAAATCACGACTTTTCGATTTAAAGCTTCTTTCGTGACTGCAGGGATTCATCTTCTTGGTTCTTTCGGTAAAGTCACGTAGAAGGGAAATAATAAAATGATAAAAATTAAACATAATAACGTCGTGAGAATTATTTTATTATGTTTTATTTTTATTATTTTGTTACTTCCCTTCTACGTGACTTTACCGAAAAAACCAAGAAGAAAAATCACGACGTTTCAGAGGTAACACAAGCTTCCGTCTTCAGGTGAAACCGTCACAGCACGATAGCTGTATCAAGTAAGCTATCGTGCTGTATCGGTTCCACCTGAAGACGGACGCTTGTGTTGCCTCCGAAACGTCGTGATTTTTATTTCATTTTTATTTTACTTTCATTAATTTAAATTCTTTACCTACGTGACTTTACCGAAAATAAAACCCTAAGAATATGAATCCTTGCAGTCACGAAAGGTTCAAATCTAGAACGCATTAATATCCCTGTCAATAGCTACACGGCCGAGAACGATGTTCGCACGCGTACGCCCGGGGCATGCACCGGCCCGGTACGGCGATCGCCGCGAGCCCGACGCGACGTTCTTGCGCCGAGAACCCGGCGATCTCGTGCGGTGATTGCCGAGCCCGGTTTGTTTCCACGCCGTACGGTTTGCCGCAAGCGCTGTTAGCGAGTAGCACTTATGAAGGCCGTCACGGCACACGAGGGGGTGGGTGGCCAGCACCACGCCCGGCCGCCTTTGTCTCCCCAGTGACGATGCTTACACACCGCACCAGGTACTCATTTGAGGCTGAGTCGACCTAGGGGAGGCGCAGGACCGGTTCAGATAGTCGTCACCGGCGATGTTGGCCGTGAGCGGGAATCGAACTCGGGTCGCTGGGTTCCCCGCGCAGCATTGCCGCTAACCGCTACACCACCGCTCCCCGCACCACCGCGCACACACACACAGACACACATGTGTAGTGAGTTCTCAGGGAGTCAGACGACCTAGTTGAGACACACTCTTTTATTTAACCAAAAGGCGGTAACAACACTTGAAGGGGTAACGGCCCCTTCACCCGTACTCAACGGGAAACACCCCTAGCACTATCCCCTGACTGTCCTATTCCCAGTCCTCGGCTACGAGTGCTAGGGGAGGCTGTCTCATCCGGCCCTGGTCAAGCACGGATCCCGGCACCCAGCTAACCAGGCCGTGCTCTTACAAGAGCAGCGGTCCTGAAGCTTTCGTGACTGCAGGGATTCATCTTCTTGGTTCTTTCGGTAAAGTCACGTAGAATGGAAATAATAAAATAATAGAAATAAAACATAATAAAATAATTATATTTAAAGCTTTCGTGACTGCAGGGATTCATCTTCTTGGTTCTTTCGGCAAAGTCACGTAGAAGGGAAATGATAAAATAATAAAAATAAAACATAATAAAATAATTCTCACGACGTTTCGGCCACAACGCAAGCAGCCGTCCTCAGGTGAAGAACAGGTCTGTCGGGGAGACAGCGTCTGAATGAAGCCATTCAGACGCTGTCTTCTCGACAGACTTATTCTTCTCGACAGACCTGTTGTTCACCTGAGGACGGCTGCTTGCGTTGTGGCCGAAACGTCGTGAGAATTATTATTATTTTTTTTTATCATTTTATTATTTCCATTCTACCTGACTTTACCGAAAGAACCAAGAAGATGAGGTCCTGGATCTCTTGTGGCCGCGCCACTGGCTTGCCCTGCTCAGCCCTGACAAGGACAGCGAGACAGGGGAGTCCCAGGGCCTCTTCTGCCGGCCTTCAGTCTTCACTGGTGAAGCTTCTAACACACTGACCCCGAGCCCTCTGGCTCCCCCCGCCTTTTATAGGAATCCCCTCCGAGGGGTGGGGGGCTGTGGGGGATCACAGCGCCGCACCCCCATGGCCCCCCCAGGGTTAACCGATGCGGACGTGGATGTAGACACCCGTGTGTGGGTGTGCAGACACCCTCGTGTTTCTGTCCGCCTTTCTCCCCGTAACAACCCCTACACATACAAGCACGTGCCGTGTCAAACGCACGCAAGCACCACGGCGACACTGACATCGCACGAAGCGTTGGAATGCTCGCCGCTGGGGTGAAGGTCGCGAGCCAGACCCCGGGTGCCATGGCGCTAACCTCCCGAGGTGGCGGTTAGACGCCACAGCAGCAAAGACGCTCGCACGCGACAACACAAACACAGACGTCCCCTCGACAGACTCGGATATCTCGTGCCGAATCTTAAACAATTTTTTTAAAATCCTTTATATTAAGCTCACTTGCTTGCTTGCTTGCGCGCTTACGACCGTGCAAATCTTTCGGTCGTTTTTTAACCCACTTCCCGTGATCCAATCGAGCTGACATTTTGCACACAGACTCGTTGTGCGTGACAATTTATTTTCGTGAAAAAAAAGTTTCCAAATTTTTCCACTTTTTAGGAAAAAAAAATTTTCATATTTAATTTAAAATACCAATGTGATGAAAATGAAACTCTTACTCGAGAAAAACAGAAATGAATAATAAAATAAAACCGATGCCACGCATATAAAGGATTTATAGTGAAAAACTTAGTTTTTACGGGTTAATTTTTTTCAGTTTCTCTTCTCAGAAGCCTCTTAAATCCCTGGCAGCTGCCGTGTGAACGATTCAGCATCGGAATCTTTATCCGGAACCTTTTAATTTCTTTAAGACCGGAGCGATCCAATGAGCTGTGAAGATCTTCTTCGCAGATGGCCGGTGGTGTTGCCGACGCGTTTTGGCATCGGTGCTACGCGCGTGATTAGCAATATAAACCCAACTCTAGATTTGAAGCTTTCGTGACTGCAAAGATTCATATTCTTAGGTTTTTCCGGTAAAGTCACGTGGGTCAAAAATTTAAATTAATAAAAGTAAAATAAAAATAAAATAAAAATCACGACGTTTCGGAGGCAACACAAGCTTCCGTCTTCAGGTGGAACTGTCACAGCACGATAGCTGTATCAAGCAGGGTTGTCACTTGATACAGCTATCGTGCAAACGGGTAACCGTACCCGGCCGTACCCGTACCCTACCCGTACCCGGCCGGGTATCGGGTAGGGTACGGGTATCGGGTACCCGATTGCGACCTCTGGGATGAAGCCATGTTGCAGGCGCGGGTGGGTTGATTCTAGGAACTTGAATTGTGAG